CAGTCAAATTAATTAATTAGTACATTATTATAAAATTTAAAATGAGTGAAAACAAGAATTAATTATCATTTGATAAAACAAACAAAATCAAACACCAACTTTGTTTATTTGTTTGTTTATTTATTTATTTTTTTTGGAAAAAAGAAACCACAACTTTGGCCATAATCCAAAATTACTACTGAAATTATTTCACTTTCATTGATTATAAACTTTATAATGTTCAATTAAATACGTTTTGAATTCTAGAAAGAAAAAAACATCTACTCTATTCACACAAACAATTAACAGTAATTTTGTTTGATTAAATAAAGCACATAAAACTCATTTTAACAATATTCTGTTAAAATGAGTGCAATGATTTCTTTGGAATGATGTTTGTTTAAAAAAAAACTACCAGCTAACTTCATATTTCATTATTCAAAAAAAAAAACTGACATTATTTACATATGACCAATTGAAAATGAACACAAACACATTCTCTGTAAGAGATGGTTTGGTTTCTTTTCTTTTTTTTCTTTAGAAAAACAATATTTACTGTATTTCAGCTATTATTGATTTCGCATAGTCAACTCATTGTTTAGGCGGTGTATATGTATGTATATATAGTTGAAATTATGAGTCAGTCGAAGCCAGACCACCATGGAAAACCTGGAAGCACTAAGCGGTTGTTTCGTCCTACTATGGGACTCTTCAACAGTGAGCATTCACGATTCCGATCCGCGAGATACGAATCCAGGCCGTATCGGTCTCGCGTGTGAACGCTTAACCATTAGACCACTGAGCCGACTGGCGTCCAATGGTGTTAATGTCTAACTTCAACCAATCCACCAAAATTGAGCCACCGTCCACCATTGTCTTCAGTGAGCTGATATCTCACAACAGACCTGAGTGAACTCCACTGGTCACAGCTTCACACTAGAACTCCAGAAAATGCATCTTGAAGTCAGTCACTAGTGAGGGAGATTGACTGATAGTTTTAATAACTTTATGGCAGTTGAGAGGTTGTCTAGTATGAAATTGGATAGTTTATCAGACGGATTGACTTCAACCAAAGAAATTAGTTGGTATCAGATGGGTGTGTTGTTCTAGAATATGAGCTTATAGCAGGATGTACCTACAACCTCACTAAGAATCATGTCATATACCATTAGGCCATTCAACCGAAGCTTGAACTTTATACCAATTAGTTACTATTTAATGGTTCACAATTTTAGCTTCATTCTAATCATTATGTTGCGTGATCGTCTTATTATATATAATCTATTTGGATTACGTTACTCATGGCTTTGCAATAAGATTCTTGAAATTATTTTTGAAGGTAGCTATCAATGAGCAAATGTTTATTATCAGAGTAGATGTCTCTATAGAATATTGGTCTTAAAAATAGTTTTGGAATCATGGATTTCGACTCAGAGACTTAATAGTAACACTTAAAGTACTTGAGTTCAATCTTTGGTGAGGTAGGACGTGCTCGCCATTGAAGAGTTCAAAACTTGGATAAAACAGCTGATTAATACTTATGGTTTCTAATAGTACTTCAGTTGTCATCGTTCTCTGAACAAATTATCTATGAATTGAACTGATCCGCATCACCTATACAGCTAAATTATACATTTTTCGTTTACCTCACGGACCTGTTTTTTACAAAACAACCGATGAATAGATGGATAGCGTGGAGAAATAGATGTATAGAGCTTTCCGGTAAAACATTGGGTACCAACTCTGTTATCTGAAAGTTAAGCACTTGATAGGAGATTCGAATTTCCTGAGTTTAGCCTTTCATGGGGTTGTGACTACATACTAGTGAACAGTCTCGTGGTTGTTTGACTGAATCACATTCATCATATAGACTACAACATTCAGAATTTCTACAACTTCCACATAAATAATAATGTCAGCGCACTCCTTTGATTCTCAACTTGAAAATGAAATGAAATATACGTCATTTGAGAATATTTACTTTGATTTTTATTTTAGTCACTTAGTATAAAGGCAGTTGGAAAATCCATGCCAGTAAATGTAGTAAAGCTGTTTCATATTTATCTAGAAGTTGACAAACTTATGTAATGATAAGTAAATAAAGGTCACTGGACACTTTTGAATCAATATAAACTAACATGAGTTAGATTTTAAATAAAAGGTGAGATATTAAAGCAAACAAGATAGTTACAAGGCACGTAACTTCAGATAAACTAATTATTGGTATTATCAGTATTATCATCAGTATTGTTATCATTATTTTTGTAACCGAGGTAATTACGATTATCAGTTGACTAGTCATCAACCATATGAACCATAAGTACTTTTAAAAGTGGCTTCAGCCAATTTGCGCCTTAAAAATGTCAATAGTTAAATACTAAAATGAAAATTTTCAAAAACTAGATTTCGTTTGCCAAATTGAACAAATTAAAAAATAAACAAGATTTCGAAAACTGACAATAAATCCTTGTATTACAAGGTTTTTTATCACCTGAAAATGGCCTACAGTTGCAATAATTAGAAGTTGGTATAAAGAGTTTGACATAATTTATCAATGGGATTAAAGCGGTTGTTTGAAATGACACAAAAAGACCATAATAATAGAGAGAAGACGTGAAATGTGACATCGAAAATTGTATTTGGGGTTTATGCATATTTCTATATTGAAAAACTATTTATGAAAAGGAAACACATCTTCTACTATAATCACTTCCAGCTGCGTTTCGCAACTAGCTTTACGTGGGAAAGCAAGCATTTAAAAATAACCTCTATGTAGTTTTCTGAATATGTTCTTACAATACGTATTCCTGAAAGGAAGCAGCATTAACATATGAGATCGTTAAATTCTTAATGGATTATGACCACAAAGTGTATATCCCCGCAGTTCTCAAAATATTCAATAAACAAAGAACATCCAATGTAACTAGATTTAAATAGGAAAGCTCCAGTTAATTTAGCATTTAACTTCATAATTACTCAATTAATCCGAACAAAATTATCCAAAATAAATGAAATGAATTTCAGCATAATATTTATCAGTTAACAATTTACTTGAAAAGAAGCTTACAACACAACCAAATATTAGTCAGTTCATGTTTCTTTTCATATAATTAGAATAGATTATTTTAACTAATCGCTCTTAAACAGTAATCAGTAGGGTTGAGTCTCCCTCAAAAAATATCGGCGACTATTTTGTGAAGCGGTTCGATTCAGGTCATGAGTTATAACTAATACAATGTAAAATTATTATGATGTAGACTTTAATGGCTGTTTGTATACTGTTTGACCGCCAAGCAGTGCTTATTGTTGCTTTTGTTCGGTTCCTTGGCGTTAGTCGATTCCTGATAATCAGTTCCTAACGAAGCTATGAGGATAAGTCAGTGAATATTATGGTGCCTTGATTTGGTCTCAGGTAGCTGGAAGCAGTTGGTAAGAATACCTCAATTAGGCTTCGTGCTACTTTGGCTCATCAGCAAGACATATCTGTAGTCTGGCAAACATTAGAATTCGTCCAACACTCATTAAATTCGACATCAGTTGATACTAAGTAAATAGTTATTGTAGACATGCCAATCTTGCAGGAATCCTTCAACATCCGTAACATATCCGACCATGATTCTATATAACTCAATTTTAAATCGCCTGAGACTATTTTCCAAGGACAGTTATTATGAATCGTTTAGTTCTGAATTTATTTTGACCTTCAGCCTTTATTTAGTACAGGTTATTACAATAATTAAACCCTGTTGAAGAGTGTCAGGTAGCAAAACACTTATACCTCAGATTTCCTGCAGATCAATAATTTCGAATACTTTATAACCGTGCAACAAAACTAGTAATAAACGTTGCAATATATAAAAGTAAATGAATTCTTACAGATTAATACTAATAAAAGTGAGTAGAAAGGATTGTCTATCCGAAAATTTACAGAAATAATTATGCATTTGTTACCACTTGTAATTTTAGAATCCTGGTTTTTTGTTACTGAGGACAGAATACAGTTTAGTAAAATCTTTGCATTTGTTTCGGAATTAGTTCACGAAACTGGATAATCAAATATAGGTTGTCTACTCAAATGAACTTAAATGAATTATTAGTAAAGAGTTGTGGAGATTATTGGATTTTAATTGAAATCATGAATCGATAAATGTCAAACCACCACTGAAAACCTGGAAGCACTGGATGGCTGTTTCGCCCTAGTATGGGTCTCCTCAGCAGTGCGCATCCACGACCAGGCACGCGGGATTCGATATAAACCATAAGACCAATAGCTGAATCTTTTATGATTCAACTGTTGATTTACTTCTGTGTCTTGTACTTGTAAAAGTGAAAATTCTACAATAAATGAATTTTACTTATGAAAAAACATACTCATCCTTTATCATTGATATATGACCAGTGTTCATTGGTATATTTTCAACAATACTGACTGTAATACACTGATTATAGTAGTAACTGGAATAAATTATTCATAACCTCTTACACTGAGATTTTAGTTTAAATTTAGTTAATCACTTCATGAAAATGATTTGTTTACCGGCATTACCACAAGTTCATTGAGTGTTTCATTGTTACTTTTTTATTTTGAAGATAAACAAAATGGATGAAAATATAGCTATTACAGAACTTTCATTAATGTTATTACTTAGGATTACAATTAACATTTGAAAATCCATTCTCATATATAAAGCAAAAGAAAATGGGTCTTAATATCTTACTCAATGCAAATTTGCGTAATTTTACACAAATCACCAAACTGCATCACAAGGGAAGCCCTAACTTGGAATCCTGAAGAGAAGCAGAAAAGAGCAAGGCCAAAGAACACATGAAGTCGGGAAATAGAAGCGGATATGAAAAGGATGAATAGCAACTGGAAAGGATTGCCCAGGACATGATTGAATGGCGAGTGCTAGTGGGCGGCCTATCCTCCTCTACGAGGAGTAACAGGCGTAAGTAAGTAAGCTATGCATATTTTGTTAAATAAATAAATAAATAAAATAGAACATCTGAGATTTACTTACCGTTATAATATAATTCACTTGTAACATATAAATACAATAATAGAGATAATATCCAAGTTGGTATAAACATTATATATTAGATGTATTACTGTTTATAGATATATGGATACATTTAACTAATTGCATCATTGTGAAATGCAAACGTGTATTATTCATAGAAAATGATTAATGTAGAATGCATTTTATAGTTAATAATTTTCTGTTGAATTTATTCATATATCATTAGTAGTACAAATTTACCTCAAGTGAAAACTTTAATCAGAAAGAAAATTAATCACTAAGTTACTGTTTGTTTTTCATGAGTATTATCAAAAAGAAAAAAAAGATCTACTACTACTCTACTACTGTGAATTTTGTTTAAACTTGGTAAACTTCAAATTTTATTTACCGCCAAAGATATCAATCCAGTCAATTGGTAATATTTTATGAAATATAATTGTTTGTTTCAACATTTGCAAAAGGAGATACTCGATTCGTTTTTTGTTTTGTTTTGCTTTGAAAGGTAACTGTATCAAGATATTTCCATGTCTCGTTCTTTAATGTTTATGAAGTGATTTCAATTATGGTATGTTTTATTAGACAGAAATTATTCTTAATTGAAATCTAAAAATAACAACCAGTAGATGAGCAGGTTACATTGTGTGAGCTGTATGGTGATTATACCTATATATATATAAGATTGATTATGTACACGTGAAGTAATTTGTGTTTATAAGGCACCAGCCTTCATGCACATATAGTTATTAACACGTATACAGACAAGTAAACTACACATTGATGCATAACACCAATAGGATTGATTTATAGATAAATATATTCACATGACAAAGTAATTTTGAGAATAGTGTGTGGAAAGGGTAATACACAGAGTTATATGTGTGTCATTTTCACTATATTTAAAAAAGAATGCTATTTTATTATAAATGTCTGTGAATATGACCAGAAACAGTGACCAAGAAAACTAGTGATATTCAAAGTGGAATTTACAGATTTTTGCACAATTTATTAACTAGTTCTTATTTTGAAAGTTTTGTTAGGATGTTGATTTACTACAATAGACAATCGAAAGTAAGCCTGCGATCTCCAATGAATGCTGGTGCTAAAGAGAGTCTGTGATATCCAGTAAAATTCAATCCTAGATACCCGACCGTAACTACTATACTGAGATAAAAATGATCATAGATTCCAGCGTCTTAATAAAGCAGTACTGACAAAGGTGTTTGCCGTTTGATCATGCTAAGCAGGGGAACTTGATAGTTCTCAAACTATTGGTAAAAACTACCAGATATCAGGATGAAACTATAAAGAGGACGGTTAGTTACTGTTAGATGTCTCATATATATAATATCACATTCCGATTATTTGAATGATTAACCTATTAGTTATCCGACCGAATAAACTTTAATAAGTCGAAACTACTATACATATATTTGTATTACTTACGTATGATGGGAAAGCTAATTGAATATTACTGTTAGATGTAGAATACTAGATAAAGATAGAGGAAATTTATTTGTCAAGATTTAAACTTGCCTGAATACTGAATATCTGATATAGCAAATGGTGACAACATGGGTTGGAAATCTGATTGTTTATAGTGTATTTTAATAGGTTACTTATTTACACAACAACGAATTCTAGAGATTTAATGGGTAAACTCCTTCGACATGTCGCATCACATTGCTGTACTTATGAATAACGGCATTTAAACCCTCTTTAACTGATTTAATTGGTTATCATTCAGTTTAAAGCAATCATCTGGATGACAGTTGTTGATATTTACTGTATTTGGAGAGTTGTTAAAGCGAGTTAAAACTGTATTGTGTTTTAACTGTTTCATCTAATGTCTACGTTATTTATTCGTCTGTTGGACTTTGCATGCATCATAAAGCTTAGGTTAGGTTTTCTATTTTAGCGTCAGACATTAATGGGTTGTTGGTGCTTAATGACTTTATTTATTTTTAAAAAGTAAGCGATCGACTGAAATGTAATTTCTGTCAACATAAACTGCCTTCAAGATTACTAACCATATGAATGAATGCTATAATAATTGAACTAACTATTACTACTATACTTTACGGCAGTAGTATGAGTTAAGGTTTTTAGTATGTTACACAAATCCTTTCATTTAAAATACAAGGTTCTATTAAGTTTCAGAGCGCTACTATTTTGATTTATTTAAGATGAGCAATTGAAAGCTACTACTTCAAAGGAGCAAACACTAAAATGGATTAATTTCTATCCACTATGTTTCACTGTATATCCATTTCATTTTGGAAGTTAACTCGCCAATACATCTGACCAAAACCATTCAATTAACCAAATTTGCTTAAAACTGATTATTTTGTTACAATTCATTTAAAATGGGTTTATAAGACAGCTTACAGATTAAAAAGGTGCTCACTTATATCTATTACAAATCAAATACTGTCTAATAATGTTTTTGAGAGACAGGACTGGGTGACAAATAAGTATTTGGTTTATAAAATACAGTAGTGCTAAGGTCGGTGGCTAGATAGATTTTTCTGCAATTTTCTCTCAGACTTTCAGAGTTAAATACGATAATATGAAATTTTTGAATGAGAAGACGATGAAAGACACTTTCATCGATCCATGATTATTAAGTTAGAATTGTTGTATACTAACCACTGTCTCAGTTTTATAGTAGTTTTAGGATACCTTGATCAATATAAATTCCCTAATCATAATTAATCACTTCATGAAAATGAATTTACAATGGCATTTAAAATTAATTTTAGATTAGAAGGTTCGTTGTGACTGCTTAACTAGACGATAATCTCATCACGCACCAAAAGGAACTATGGAATATTGAACATCATCTGTATCATATTTTTGGACTCCACAGTGTAACTCGTCAACCACTTAAAAAGGCATCCAACTGGGAAGTTTTATGTTTTATAACAAAGATTATTAACTTTAAATCACTAAGCTAAATCTTAATAGTTTAGATTCCCAACTAGAAAAACTCCATGATACTGTTAGACAATTGCCTAATGTGATTGATGAAACACTATTTCATTATTGAAGTCGTAGTGAACACAACACGGGTAGGGACAATCGAATGTATTTAATATAAAATTACAGAGCATCTCAATAAAATCTGAGAACCATATATTTAGTCGATAATTTGCAAAATGTCCACCAATTGTTACAAAATACCTCAGACTTCATTGTCCTTGCATTTTCATACAAATTACATTCTATTCCTACTCTTGCTTTCTTGATCTTCCCCCATCTTCTGCTGCCAGACATTACATTTCTGACTTGCATAATATACCACTTATATCATTATAAGTAGCACGCACCACAAAATGTTTGAAATTCATCCATCATAGATAATTACTAAAACTTATGGAGTTCATTTTAGATTTGTCATTAGTTAGGACACAGTTGTTATTAAGATAAAGAATAACAAGTTGCACGAACCAGCAATGCAGTACATTGTGATGTGAATCTTTATTCACTTGATTTTAGTCTTCAGTAAAAACGATTTTCAGCGATTAAAATTATTTTTAAAAAAAATCTACCGATGACATATTTTAAAGGACTTTTTAATGGTCATCCCTAAAACTTATGGCATTCAATAAATATTATAAATACATTGATAATATGTGATCAAATTACTGATCACTTAATCTTTACTCTTCACTATTGGAAAGTAAACCAATTTTCGAGCAAATCTAACTAACATTTTACATGAATGTAAATGAATTATCGATTACTAGGTACTTTTTTTGTTGTAAATTTTGTCTAACACAGTAAAGGATAAACTAAACTCAAGTGTACTTTTCTGACCACAAGACTGAATATATATATATATATATATATGGATAGAGAGAGGGAGAGAGAAAACGATTCGGGTAGTAAACTAAGTTTAAGTAAAATAGAAAACAGTTTTTCGAAAAAAAGTAGAATAGATGAAATTTTTGTTTTGTTTAGTATTTTCTTTCTATTATTGAACCATTAAACTGTTTTGAAAATCGTTTTCTCTCTCTCTCTATCTTTCTTACTACCAAATACCTCGGTACGACTGAGAGTGGGGAGAGTCAACTCTCCCTCTCGAAATGCTCTCAATTGGCTACATGCATACAACCACTGCCAGGGAAGTCCTACTTACTACCTTCTCGTGGCGGGGGCGTTTACGGAATTGAAAGGACGAAAAGCGAATGCCCAGCGCTTTAATCAGGTCGATGAACACGGAGAATCCATCTAAGGGAGTTGGAAAACCCTGATTGCAAACCAATGGTATAAATGGGCTTCAGTATCCTGAGGGAAGAAACGGAGTATGAACCTATTATCGGTCACCGGCTACCATGAAACTGCATCTCATGACGTTGCTCTACTGCTTTGTGGATTAGACTTTTAGGTCAAAGGCTCCGTGTCTGGCCCCCTAAGAAAACCACCTGCTTTGGATTTGGGCACCCGGGCAATATCCTAGCCTTCACACAAGTCAGGTGATTTATATGGCAAATATCTATTTGATACCTTCTTGTACCTATGTTTATGTGTTTAAATAAATAAATAAATTACTACCAACTAGATTAATTTTGATATAGGCAAAAGTAATTAATTTTTACTCATTTTAAACAAATAAACTTAAATTAAATTTAAAGCATTTCATTAAATCTGAGAAAGAAAGAAAATTTACTAATGGTTTGCAAATTTTGAAATAGTACAGCAAATGTTGAAATGAAATGAAAAATAAAATCAACCAGTAGCAGTGATGAATTTATTCGATGAACTAGGAGATTTTTGAAGAAACATTTAATGAGCATGAGAGAAGTATGTAAACTGTTGAGGAATGTATCATTGAACAAACTCAAAATGATCATTACCTACTACATAAAATACATGTTTAATACGTGTGATATATATATATATGGTTGATATATATGGAATAAGCAATTGGTATATGTCATACCTTTGCCATAAGCACAATCTATGGTTATATTGACAAAAGAAAACTGGCATGAATTAGAAGTCCAGTAGGAACATGTAGAATTACCTATAATTAAATTTTTAAATTGTGCTGTTAAGTCATAATCCTGTACCATTGAAATGAAAACAAAGTTTCATTTTCTTTCTTCACCTTTATAAAATGTAACAACAATGCAATAACTTTATTAATCACCCAAACGTCACGATAGAAAGGTAGATCTTGGTGACAAAGCTTTTTATTCCATGAGGTCGAAAATGTGATATAACAGTTTCGTTTATATAGTGACTATAATAACCTTGGCAACACATAATAAAACGAGATGGGGAAATAACTAATTAGAGGATAGCAAAAGCTAATTTAGTAAGATGAATTAAAAGTAATCGAGGATACACTTGTTTACTGGAACTGTAATTTACTAGCAAAGGGAAAAAAGCAAATTAATTTGAGACCTTCTTAACAGATACCTAACCTAATTATATTAGTACTATAAAACTGCTATTCGCATTTTGAGTTATTTTAAATTGAAAATAAACTCTTAGTATAGAATTAACTGGGTTGTCGACAATGACTGACAACATTCATGTATCTGGATTAATTTAAATCTATGACATATCGATCCCAATTCAATATTAAAAGATACCAGGTGTATGCTGAAGTTTATACATGTAATGTAATTAGCAGTGGAGTACAGGACGCACATTTTGTTCCGTTTGCGACTCATCAGCCAG